CAGCCTTACTGTATGTTATATAGACAGCCTTAATGTATGTTATATAGACAGCCTTAATGTATGTTATATTGACAGCCTGAATGTATGTTATATAGACAGCCTTAATGTATGTTATATAGACAGCCTTAATGTATGTTCGACGCTTACATGGGACAGCCGACGGGTACTGGTCTCACAAAACCTGACACGTCCTTAAATGACCATAGATGTTAAAGGGACGAGTAAATATACAGTAAAGTTTACATTGTATATATATTATAATAGAATATAAACTTTATTTAGTTTACAACAATTACGAAACAAATTTTTATAACTTATATTAGTCACTATTGTTGGTCTGTGATTTAACAGGTGACCCCATGCCTTTTCAAGTCCGATCGGGGAATCGAACCACGGCTGCCTTAGTTAAAGACAAGTCCGCTATCCACAGTGCCATCCGCGGGGACGAAATATTCAAACACACAAAATTTGTATATTAATAGGATTTATTATTTTCTGTCGTATTTCGTTTTTGTCTATTGGTTGAAAGCAATGTGCGTAGTAGCATCCAGTACAACAACTTGTGTTTATCTGGTGCATGTACAATAGAATATGTATAAGGCAGTCCCAGAGGAGATTATAATGTAGTAATAAAAATTGACAAAGGAAACTTCACTAAAAAAAATGTAGAAAGGCAATAACTATACGAGACTTAAATTGTAAATTTTTGCTTCATACAGTATCAAACCGTGATCGCAATTGCCTGGCAATGTGTGACTTCATAGATAAAACCGAGAGTTGTCGTCGGTGTCGTCTGCCTCGGTGGCGTTGAGTAAGGCAATGCTGATCAATGAGCGTCCTCTACGATATACTTAAGATATGTGATTACTTTATTTTTAAAATTTTCAACGTTTACATTCAGGACTTATTTTTGTTGATAGGCCATTCAGATGTTGTCCTTAAACGAATACCGGAAGTTGGTAGTTAGAATCTTGTCTCCACCACCTTCCGATGGATGATAAATCAGGATTGTATGATACTGGTAATAGTTAGTCAGAACGTTCAATATCAACTTCCGTAAACTGTATTGCGGGGAGGGGGAGGGGGAGGGGGAATGGCATGACAACGACACACAAACAGGATATTAGTAACCAGATGCTAGAACATACATGTTTCGTTTATAAGGGTTTCACAACACCGTTGTTAAAATAGGTTTACATAGATCAGTGATCGTCGTCATTATGGAGGGGATGTGTACATCATTCTTCATGCTATCATATGTATCTACTGCGATCGTTTGCTGTTATCTACAAAATGGTATGGATTAATTCATATAATTATGTCTTTTTTAATATACTTTATTGACATTATATGTTAAACTTATTGAGTCAAAGACTCATTATAACTAGCCGTGACTGTTAATTTGGATAATTGTTTTTCGAAACGTATTAGTATTATTACTAACGAAACGATGTTCTCTTTGAATTTTAATTTTGGCAACCATATAATATAATGCTAATGAAACGGTTAGGATGAAGTCCTGGTTGCCAAATTTGTATTGAGTTGGGTGAAAAGACTTACTAGCAGACTGATGGCATACCGGTGGGGACTAACCGTGACTCACGTCTGGTCAACTTGTAATTGTTTTGAAAGATCGCTGAGGGGAAGTTCTCCTCGCTCGGCTCCGTACTGTGCACACTTATCCTACTCATTCGTACCCTTTAAAACGAGAAGATCCTTCTACATGCCACACATGTGACACTCCATTTACAGTGGAACATTTTGTTATTAGATTGTTCTGACTTCAGACACATTAGTGATAATTTCTATCGAGTCGCAGATATTAAAACCCTTTTCACTTCCGTGTACTTTAAGTCATTATTTAACTTTTGGAAGGACATCGGTCTATTTAATTGACTCTGAAGTCTTTTAAGCCACCTTATCCTATTTGACGTTATCTATACATCACATTTTATATATTCTCTACTCATTATCTCTTTAACTTTCATTATTTTAACCTCTTTCATATTTTAATTATTTACACATACAGTGCTTAATTTAAAATTATTCCTTGTTATCCGATTCTATATACACTACTCACATCACGCTTGTTTAAAAAACAAAATCACCATTGCCCGAAATGACCATAGTTGTCGATTGACCATTAAAAATAAGATAAAAAATGGTATGAGAGTGAATTGATCAGGACAGATAACGATGACCGTCCCTACATTCAGCTATATCGATAATGTTTTACATGAACTAGCAGGGAAATGTATTGACTATGTAGATCGTATATAAACAAATATCCTCTTGAACTTGAAATCAAGGACGCTACCAAATGTCTACACCAGTTTATTACCTCGATCATTATTTACACCATGATTAACAGACTTAGTATTCACATGTGTCGATATTATTGATTTTCTGTTCACGAACTTTCCCTTCCTTGGTAGTAACATTTCTGTTTCTCCGCCTACGGTGTATAAATGTCGGAGTTGATTACATTTCCACGGACTTGCGCAGAATTATCACCACTAACTATGACAAATTCCAAATGTTCATTGACAAGCTAACAACACGAGGTTTCAAATATTGATACTAATCCACTGTTATCTAACAGAATGTGACAAAGCTTTGTATTGACCTAAATTTTCATTTGCGTGTGGAATTGCTGACGTATCCTTCCGGAACACCTGGTCATATTTTCCTTGTACTTTTGCGGTCTTTTGTTCAAAATTTCCTCCATTAAATCGATTTTTAATTCCAATTATAGTTTTTACTTTTTTCTTGGCTCTTCGTATTTTCAAAATTGATATTTTATTTCAGGTAAACCGAACAAAGACTCGTAACACGCTAGCGTTTTATCAAAAAGGCATAACTTAGAGTAAAATGTGAGGGCCTTATTGTATAGATATTAATATGGAATATGATACAAGAAAACAGATGTAGTCACCTTACAGAAACACTTGAGCCCATATTCAGGAAACCGTTCTCATGCTCAAACTCAGTCTCTGTGCTTAAGCCCAAAATCTTCCTCCGGTGATGAATCGATAAAATTTAATATTTTGTTTATGATTCGGAAGAATTCTGGAGCGATGTAAAGTCAAAAACTATTTATAGTATTTACACTTTACAATTTGACATTGTCACGTGATTCAAGTGGGTTATAAAAAGCTGGTTTGACCACAGAATCAATGCTTGGGCATACGAACAGTTTAATTAATATGGGCTCTGGTCACCATTGTTCAACTCCGGATGCCATAAAAGATCAATTAATGAAAATCTTGTTTACATTCACAACACAATGAATGCAACATTAAAATGCATGTTTAATGATTCGAAATGACCACCAGAAGGCATGAAATAAAAAACTAACAGATTTTGTAAATTTTACGTTAACGATTTGCTAAGGAAATCCTGCTTTTAAAAGCCGAATCTTAAAAAAAAAAATTATGCACCAGATACCTTGATATTGACCTTGATCACTGGATATATTTATTTTTCTTTCGCGACATTTTTAATTTTTAACAACAATTTAACCTTTTAACATTAAATAGACGAAAACCAAGATTTAAGGTTTCTCCTTCTTGTCTTTTCAAATCGAAAAGACGAAACAACAAAACGGCACAAATAAGCCACCGTACATAACCTGATGTCTATATTTTTTGTTCATGAATGTGCAAAATTTTACTGTTTAAAAGTTAAAAAGTAAATATTGTACAATTGGTAATAACGCGATAAAACATGCAAAAACAAACATGTTTAAAAGAATATTAAAAATATTATATATATAATAAAAATGAAATTTGAAAGGTTCATATTGTCCACAATGTAAGAATTACTTCCTTCCCCCGTATGAAATTCTAAGTAACTCGTATCCTATAACATACGTTTACAAGGATCCAGTGTTGTTCGGGAAGCTACCGTAACTATTACTTATTTGACCCGTACTACAAATAAAATATATACTTTAGTAACTTTCACCTTTTTTACAGCCTATGGTGATCATATCTTTGTTATGGAATCAGCAACCTGCGTGAGAGCCACTATTAACTGTATGATGGACCACAACGGAGTACTCGCCTACGAACCACACTTATATCAGTACGAACAGGACACCGGCTGTTCCACGGCGCATCTATCTATTTGGCTTTGGAATAGAGAACCATTCACTTGTAAATTCCAGGACGGTACAGGTAGGGCACTCATACAAGTACACGTACCGCATCAATCTTTCCCTTACACTGTGAACATCCTCGATACTCAAGGGGGATACGCTCACGTTCACTCTCTGCACCCCTTGAATTTGGCATAGCAAGTTGAAGGAGTCTGGCTAGCTATTAAAATTGTTCAGGTAAAAAAACTGACCATTGGCTTGGCTGATACATATTCATATTCTTCGAAGATTACAGTGAAGCGACACCCGACTTTGAAGCCAGTCTAGTCTATTTTATCATTACGCGACCGCGAGATACTTTTGGTGTACATCAAAGGATCAAATTAATTGTCTTGTCTCATCCACAAAGTGGTGCACACAGAGCCTCGATTTTGCTATGGCATTCCAGAAAACCATGCATTATTTTTTTATTAATTCTGGAACTACATTGAACTGCGATAAACGACAATTCTATGGTCGAACTACTTCAGTTTTGCCCTTTAAAGAGTCATCTGATAACACACATTTTGCATTTGAAGGTTTTTTTCAAATTGTGAATGTTATGTGATTAACAGAATCCTACATTCGTGTCCATTTCATATTGAATTGATTAAACTCGTTCAATAAATTCAATTTTACATGGATACTCATGGAAGATCCGTTATGTATATTATGGGACATTTTCATATTATTGCCAAGGTATAAGTATAGTATTAACCATTCCTGACATATATTGAGATTGATTTTGTTGGATATATATATTAATTTCAAACACCGTATTTAATTGGTACCAATGAAGAATATCTATCAGTGAATTCGATATGTAGACACTTAAAATTGAAAGAAGTGCAATCGATACAACTGCAATAAATAAACATTATATTCCTGTTAATTATTTCGGATAGCCAGCCGGTGTATTATTCCTATCAAAACAAAACCCACTTGCCTTACCACTCGGCGTTTCGGGTACGAATCGAGTATGTCACGTGCACGTGTGGTCAGTCGTGGTCAAGATCCAAATTTGCATGTTCAGACATTTCACGGGATTTCCATTCATAAATGATAAACAGGATACGGAATAATTTCATAAAAACTTACAAGATTACTTTAATAAGTGAAAAAAATACTGCAAAATTGATATCTGATTTGAAGAAATGTCACTTTTAATGAATAATGATGTTGTAATTACATGTTTAAGCTACTACTCAGCCAGAGAACGAACAATCAACTTCACATCTATCATCATCATCAGCAGCAGCAGCAGCAGCAGTATCTTCTTCAAAGAAAACACATAGATACATTTGCGTCACAAACGGTGAGTGTTTTTTAAGCGAGCACTTCCGTTGTGTTTAACATGGTGTATGCAAGCTAACCTTCACAAATTTGTATACACATCCTCGATATCTAGGGGTTACGCTCACTTTCGCTCTCTACACCCCTGGAATATGTCATAGCAAAATCGAAGGCTCAGTGTGCAGCACCTTGTGGATGAGACGAAATGACTAGTTTGGTCCTTTGATGTACATCAACAGAATCAAAAGGTAAAAAAAGGCAGGCTTTGAAGTCGGGCGTCACTCCTTTGTAATCCCCAAAAGGACAAGTATCAGCCAAGTGATTGGTCAGGTTATTTTACCTGACACCAGTCAAATGGCTAGCCGCATGCCTTCATTTTTGCAATGACATATTCCAGGGATGGATATCAAGGATGCGCAACTGCTGGATATCGAGGATGGTTTATATCTAGCCATCCGGTTATTTTTAGTCGCGTTACAGTAACACGACTACTTGTTGTCATAATAACCATGGCAACACATTTTATTTGGTTCTAATTACGCGACTTTTTACAATGGTAGTAGGTATGACACGACAATTAATCACAAGTCTTGTTTACATAACGCAATCTAGCATCACTGGATGACAATAATATGATTCTGAAAAATCTGGACTCAGATTACTATAGGTAAACATATTTTTAAAATAAAAATCACAGTGCCTCCTCACAAAGGCACCACAGAACTGAAAAACGAAGCAAACAGACAAAGTAGACAGCAAAGGAACAACTAGATAGATTATATTGAATTGTATTTATGGGACACAATCTTTTTAAAAACAAATTCAGCGTTAGGTATCTTTAATTTATAATTTTCATTTTACAAATTGACTTTGCGATATATGTTTTCTTTGCCAGTTGAAAACTGTATCCTGATAATTCAATTAAAAAAAATGAATCTGAAATCTGATAATGTTTGAAAAACACAACATATTCGTCACATATAATAATAATAATATAAATAATAATAATTCGAGGTTCTTATATACCGCTTTATCACAGCCTAGTTCGTAGGTCGTCTCAAAGCGGTTCACAAATTATTATCCATGGCTATAGGGCCTTTGCGACCAGTCAATATCTTTCTCAGCTCCCTGGGGAGCATACAGCGAGTGCTGCCATTTCGGGGCTCACAGCTAGCATTCTACAGTTCTAGCACTGTCCAACCATGTACTCATTTACAGCTTAGTAGACTGGAACAAGCGGGGTAAAGTATCTTGCTCAACGATACAACACAGTGCCGTACCGTGACTCGAACCCGCAACCCTTCGGTTACGACCCGGCGTCCTACCACTAGACTACCGTGCCTTCAATTGAAATCGGTGTATGATATAAGGCACGTGATATTGCTTAGAACAACAAAAATTTTAATGTTGCTGCAGACTTGAATTAATTTGCCGTCACGAGTACTTAAAACGTTCATCTGTTCTGAGATTTAAATTGTCAATGTTTCTACGAGTGTGTCGCAAACAGTGCTAACCATTTACCCGTGAAATTGTAGTCACTCAAAATACGGAGATAATTTCCCAGGGTATATTTATCCCCTATACCGGTTGACCTAATACAGGTCAACCGTGTATTGTCGTCATTATGCCAAGTGGTTAAATGTATTTAGTTTATTTTGTACTGATAGTATGTTATGTGTAGGATCCACTAACTTGTTTGTTATTGTACTTGGTGTACGTGCTATATGCATTAATGAATAAATAGTTCATTTATCATTTCACTATTTCATTGTATTTTGTGGTGACGAAGATTTATCAAACTGTTGCCAATCTAAAAACCCTGTGTAGCGATATGGAACATTTTAGAGTGCATTTAAGCTTTGTTAGTCATCATGTTTTAAACTTTGACCATAACTGACAAATGTTCGCTGTTGTATCTCATTTTACAGAACCAGAGTAGACATCAAAGGCAAAACTAGATACATGTACATATACTGAATTGTATTTTAATGTTTTACAAACGTTTGATAAACGAATAAGCCTTAGATACCTCACCTTCAAGATAATTTATTTTTGTGTCGTGGTCGTTGCCCTTTTTTTCAAATGTCTTTATACTCGTAATATACCTGAGATTACATAGCTAAATTTCGGTTATTTCTGTGGGTACATTTTGTTTCTTTTTTTGTTTGTTTGTTTTTGTTTTACGATAAGATAAAGAGCAATCAAATAAACACTTGCCCATCTTTTCTGTGATACAATGCATGTCAAATGACATCCTTGATAATCCAGGGATTACGCTCACTTTCACTCTCTTTACCCCTGGAATATGGTACAGCAACATTGAAGTCTCAGTGTGCAACTCAATGTGGATAAGACGAGAAGACTAGTTTTGTCCTTTGATGTACATCAAAAGAATCTGTCTGTCGCATAACGGTAAAAAGTACTGACTTTGAAGTCGGGTGTCGCAACCTTTGTAATCCTCAAAGGACAAGTATCAAGCCTGCGGTTAGTCAGGTGTTTACTCCTGAGACAAATCAAATAGCTAGCCATGTGCCTTCATCTTTGCTATGACATATTCCAGTGGTGCGGAGAGTGAAAGTGAGCGTAATCCCTGGAGTGTCGAGGATGGTCGAATGATTGCTTACTTTAAGTAATCGCGGAAAAGTTAATAAACTATATATACTCTTGACCTCTATTTTGACATACAACGACGTATTTTTAACGGTTTTTGTATACATCAATTTCCTAGGTGTGATGGGCAAAAAGACTGATCTGTGTAATCCCAAAGCAGTACCCATAATAAATATGGAACAATCTAAGAGTAAGTACAGTAACCAACCTTGCTGTATATATCTATAAATAGGTACATTTATAGGGCGTTGTCACTATACAACCCTGCCATATTCAGATTGCGTTCATGTAGGCTATGAATGCCATGAACCGATTGTGCACGTCATCATAATTATGATGTCTTTAGTGTTACGTTGGATACTACTGACCCTCCCTTGCCTATGGATGTTCTATTCACAAAAGAAAACACATACTTTTAACTAGATGCTGAGCAGCTATAAGTGTTAATGAAGATTCTATGAGATAAACAGATCATTCTCCGTGATAATTCAGTGTGTATTCCATTTGTTCGAAAATATTTTTTTCTTTTTTCCTCTTCTTTTTTATTTTATTTTCAAACATTTTCATTATATAAACTGTATTATACTGTATACATGTATGTATGTTACTCACATGATACCACTTATGATTCCTAGATTATGTCGAGGCCATTATAGGATCCAGTGTCGGTGCCGTGGCTATCCTAGCTATGTTGGTGCTGCTGATTCTCTACAAAAGACGGTTAGTACAATTTGCGTTATATAATCATTTTTATTTTCGTATTTCATTTTTGTATTTAATACAAAAATGAATAAATCTGCCTTTCGCAAAAACTCAACATTTCCTGATGCAGGGCCTATCTAATATAAAAATATTCAACGTCATTTTCTTAATTTCATGCAGGTACATAAACATTGAAAAAATGCCGTTCATTTAGCTATTATTGACCTCAATACGGATGCTCCGATATTGAAGTTTCTGTGTCCGCAGTGCAAACGAGTTTCGTGGAACAGCCTAACGTCACAAAAAAAAATATCTTCTAACTGTTATCTTATGTTATTAGAGGCGGGAAAACAAGCTTCATAATTACGCTGATCAAATTGTCTTCATAGCTTTATGAACGCAATGCTTGTAGAGGAACTTATGATGGAAATGTAAATTCACTGATAATGGTCCTATGCAATACCAACCTTTTACCCGAGATAATTTCGCTTATCTAGATGCGCTGTGGAGGAATCTGATGCATTTTGTGCAATACTGACAAATGCTCACATCTGTGTCTCATTTTGTATTGCAGAACAAGAGAAAGACCAACGCCATACTGGCCTAATACATCCAATAGATCAGACGATGGAGCCGAAACAGTGATTATTGAGTCTGCACAGGACTCATCGATCAATGAAGACATCAATGACCATCATTATACATTGCCAAAGACTACTAGTTCGTGTGTGAAAATGGTCAATTTGGTACGCCCTGCACTAAAGAAAACTACTGATGTTCGGGCATGGGCCTCTGAGGCGGATCTTTGTTTGTTGCCCTATCAGTGTTCCGAAAGACCTCATAGAGGGTTGTGCTTCACCACATCAGTCGGAAGCAAATCCGGGGCTGTCTCAGCTCCAGACATTCATATTTATGAAACTATAGAGCCATGTAACAGTACTTATCACCGGGAAAACACAGGTAGATGCAAAAATTGTAAGACTATCAGTAAACCATACTGTCAAACAGACGGTGACCACGGTTACATAGAATTCTTCGCAACTTCTGGAGCGGCCTCTGCTCCTGACCTACATTTGTACGAGGAATTGAAACCCTGTAGTTGTATTGATAAACTAGGAAAAGCATGTAACTGTATTAAATATACCTCTCTACGTCTACAAAGCAATCCTTAGCATGAAGTTCATGATGATATGGACTCCCGTGTAATATCTGGATCTGCTACCGCTCCCGACCTAACTTAAATAGGTGCGCGAGAGGAGGACCCTGCAATGGTGTTGGGAAAACAAATAGAAAAAAGACAAGTTAAGAGTCGCTTGCATTCGATACATCACTCTCGTGTCATATATCATAAAAAAAACTTGTGTCTATTATTTTTAAGATGTAGGCTATGGAACGCATATGTTGTAAGGAAGGATGGACATATATAATGGAGTTATACAAGGGAGTCCTAGTGGCAACCCCTTATTGGAATTATGCGTCACGCATCGAGAAAGAGCGGCCCATCAAACAACTTAATCTTCGAGAATTTGATCACCTCAGATTTAAGTTTGGACTGTATTCCCTCAAATATGAAATTTAAAAAATAAAATAGTATTTATTTATTTTAAGAAATGTGATGATGAATTGCAGAAAACCAAATTTTCTTACTTTGCTCCAACGTAGTAAATGTACTATGGTAATGCAAATTCTTTGCCAGCACCATTTGCGACTACGGGAGCAGTTTGGGGAATTTGTTACGTTGTAACAATCAATACCTGCTCCCAAGAGAAGATAACTCTGCAATACGCAAACTCAGTAGACATCCGCGATATCTTACGCTCACTTTCGCTCTCTACACCCCTGGAATATGTCAGCAAAAATGAAGGCTCAGTGTATTTAATACATGTATTGACTTTTACTATGCCAATATTTCTCTCCTATCCCCCCCATAAAAAGACGCACAGATACTTTACTTATTGTCATATATATATGTTACCTGTGAAGGATGAAATATTTACGATTTTTTGTCTCTTATGTTGTTGTTGTATAGATAGATATTTTAAATTAGTATAAATTATCCTAGGGCCTATGCTTGAAGCGTTTCAAGCACCCTGACGTGTCTTGTTCATTTCTCTTCTTGTCAACATGTGTTTCTCTGATGTAAATTGTGTGTGTATGTGTATGATAGCTGTTTTATGTTTGTGTTACTGTAATATCTCATCCATGCTCAACTGGATTTCAGATATCACGACGGTGAAATTTCTTTATAGCCGGATGACTGACCGATCCTTTCCTGTTCATAGTTTCCACATCGACAATGGTTAATTTGGTTTGTATTCTTATCTTTGAAAAGGTTGACCTCCGGCTATATTTATTATATTCAATCAAACTATATCTCGATATCTATCATGGCTTTCGTCATATTTATTTGTATCATTTTATTACGTTTCCTAGATTCGATAACTTATCTTTTATTCTTATATCGCATCTTATAATTATGATACGGTGTTGTGACACAGAAATAAATCTAGTTCATCTAAATGTGAGGTTTCTTAGAAACAAAATACCCCTTATTGAAGCAGAGCTAGAAAATTTTGATATTGTTTGTATAACAGAATCCCATCTAAATCCTTTAATAACTAACACCGACATTCACATGCACTCTTTTACTTCCTCTCCTCACAGAAAAGATAAAACTACAGGTCCAGGCGGGGGGATTATTGTTTATTATGAAAATACTATCATGATTAATAGACGAATTGAATTGGAAAGGGATGATATTGAATTGATCTGGTTATGAGTAATAATTAATAATCACAAACTTTTACTGGGATGCATATACAGACCTGATAGTAATGTTGATTACTGGAACAAACTAGATGATACTTTGACCAGAGCTACTGATACTTCAATGGATGTGGTACTCACCGGTGACATTAATATCGATATGTTAACCCTTCTACCTAATCATCACCTTTCAAGACTCCTTACTAAGCATAACTTATCTAGCCTTATTAATGAACCTACACGTATAACTCAGGAGAGTGCCACTTCCATTGATGTTATCTTTATAAACAATCGAAACATAATTAGAAATACGTATACACTCTGTGCATGCATCCATTTTATTTGGCGTATTCAAATAAGCAAGTTATAAGAAAAAAAAATTAAAATATGAAGAAGGTGATTTTGAAAGTATGAGTAACACTCTTCTTGATGTTGACTGGGTGAATCTATCTTCAAACCAGGACTCTAATACATTTAACAGTACCATCTAATACATTTAACAGTACCATATACTGATTTAATCATGGATCAGGTAAATGACTTCATTCCTGTTAAAGTAATAACAGTACGTCCTAATGATAAACCATGGATGAACAACAACATAAGATTAAAGATGAGACAACGCAATTGAATTCACAGAAAGGCCAAATTAACAAATAGTCCTCACTTTTGGAACAGATTTAGGATTCTCAAGAATGAAGCCATTGACCTGATCCGTGAAGCTAAGTCAACATTTATCAAAACCCTAAAAAACTCTTTAAAAGACAATAAGAATCCCCCAGATGAATGGTGGAAAATTGCTAAATCTATCTCTAACTTCACCAATAAATCTTCTCCAATTCCTCCTCTTGTAATTAATAACCAAGCCGTTCACCGTCCTATTGATAAAGCCGAGGTCCTTAATAATCACTTCATCAATATCTCCACATCCTCACCTGACCTCCAACTACCTCAGACAGCACAACCAGCAATTACTTATTCACTATCTAATATAAATATTACTGAACAAGATGTTGCTGACCAAATTAATATTCTTAATATAAATAAGCACCCTGGACCTGATGGAATTGTTCCCAAAATTATTAAAAGATTGAATTCCTCTCTTAAATTACCCCTCATGATCTTATTTAATTAAACACTAGAAACAGGAGTGAAAACATTCCCAATAGCTGGAAACAAGCAAATATAAATGCAGTTTATAAGGGTAATGAATCATCTAATGATGTATTAAACTACAGACCAGTAACTTTAGTAAAATAATGGAAAAAAATGTTCTTTGTTATATCAAATCTAAGGTAGGTCGTAAATCATTAATTAAGATATATATTGCATTTATTAGACCAATTTTTGAGTATGCAGACATTGTATGGGATAATTGCACCTTATAATCTATTGAATTACTTGAATCTGTACAATTAGAAGCAGCTAGGATTATAACTGGTCTTCGTTCAGGGACATCGCACAATAAACTCCATAATGAACTTGGTTTGGAAACACTGTCTGCAAGAAGGTACAAACATAAACAAATAATGATGTATAAGATAATGCATGGACTCTCGCCTCAATACTTGCAAAATGTCACAAATCCTTTCATTAACAATCATAATAACAATCCCTACTCTCTTAGACTAACCAGACTCTTTAACCCACCTATGTGTAGAACTAATAACTATTTTGACAGTTTTTTCACCTGTATGTGCCGCGATGTCAACACTATGGATACTGGTATGTTGAACTCTTCATCTCTTGCTCTGTTTAAAAAATTACAAAATAAAGATAAAGTTAAGGACAGAGAAGTAGCTTCAATTTTTAAAAACGACGGTGAAAGAATGGTAAATATTATTCTTTGCCAATTATGAAATTCCTGTTGTAATTTATATTCTGATTTATGTCGTGACAATTTAATAGATAGTCCAACTTGTGTTTGTTCTTTTGAATATGAAACAGACTCATTATTTCTTCAATTGTCCACTGTATATCGAACAACGAAATACTTTGTTTACTTCTTTGAATAATATAAGTAACCATAACCATAAGGTTGTCGTACATGTGATCTGAATATAAACAGACAGATGCTAAGTCATATTCAGATTTTTATTGGAAAAACTAGGCGTTTTATTTTTTATATGACGTAGAAAGCCATGATGTATTATCTAGATAGAATTTTTAATGGAATAACAAAGTATAAACTTTTTGATGCATAATGATAAATGAGATTATAGTTGAGTAGGTTTGTTATATTTTGTTCATAATATTATATTGCCTTTCTGTCACATTATTTAAATTTGTACTTTTTACTCATAAACAGTATTGGTAGCAATGCCCCGTGCACATAAATGCACATGGACTTTTGGTCAAAGTCTACTCTTACTGTACATATGATATACTGACTGTGACTATTTAATAAGAAAATAATTGTATGTGTGTTGGATGTATGATTGTGAGTTGTTTGTGTATTGTTATTGTGATGTCCTATGATGTGTTTATCCCCTTTGTGTTTGTCATGTTGGAGTTATCTCCCCTTACCTTTAATTAGTATTACTCTTTATAATTTTTCATTTCAAAGTATCCTTCAATTAATTAATCATTATTGTTGTAACTACATTGTATATATGATCAAATTTTGAGCCACCCATGGACAGAATGTATATAGGCTTGCCTGTTATTCAATCCATTTGACTATAACATCTGTCAATAAAAATTTGTTGAAATGAAGGCTCAGTGTGCACATCTTGTGGATGAGACGAGATGACTAGTTCGGTCCTTTGGTCTACATCAAAAGAATCTCGCGGTTGCGTGACGGTAAAAATGATAGGCTTTGAAGTCGGGCGTCGCTCCTTGATAACCTTCAAAGGACAAGTAACAGCCAAGTGATTGGTCATGGTGTTTTTTTACCTGACACCAATCAAATAGCAACCAACGTGCCTTCATTTTTACTATGCCATATTCCAGGTATGTAAAGGGCGAAAATTAGCGTAACCCCTTGATATCCATGATGCTCAGTAGACTAAAGTTAATACTTCGGACTATCACTGCATGGTGATTTCAAATGGGGCATTTATCTACGTTACCTCTAATGAAACCAATCACAAAGATTTTTAAAACGCAACCTGAAAATAAATAAACTCCCAACACATTTAAGAACATGCAAATGCATACAAAACAATACTTTGACCTAAACTGGAATACTGCTTTTATAGATGGGACGCACAAGGCACAAACCAAATCAACTAAATATAGAAAATACAAAGCAGCGAGTACGATACCTTCACAACAAATATCCCAATAAAATCTCAGTGCAAGACATGTCGGCAAAACTAGGCAGACACTTTTTAAAACACGTAGAATACAAAGCAAACGTACTCCGACACGTCTAAATATCAAACAAGAAGTAATTAAATTTAGTTCTCTTACGGGCTGCAAAATAAAATGATGACATTTCTTGGCAAATTTTGGCACGCTTCTTCTGCTATAACAATCATTTTTTGTTTGTTAATACTTCTTCATAAGTGAATTATAAAGTCGTTTAGCATACTAAGTAACTTAATCGATATTTATCAATTAAGATGTGTATTGTATATAAACGCTACCTCCGACCCTTTCGAACACGGGTATTGTATATAAACGCTACCTCCGACTCTATCGAACACGTGCATTGTATATAAACGTTACCTCCGACCCTATCGACCACGTGTATTGTATATAAACGTTACCTCCGACGTGTATTGTATATTAATGCTACATCCGACCCTATCGAACACGTGTATTGTATCGCTACCTCGGACCCTATCGAACACGTGTATTGTATACATACGTGACCTCCGACCCTATCGATCACGTGCATTGTATATTAACGCTACATCCGACCCTATCGAACACGTGAATTGTATATAAACGCTACATCCGACTCTATCGAACACGTGTATTGTATATAAACGCTCCCTCCGACTCTATCGAACACGTGCATTTTATATAAACGCTTCCTCCGACCCTATCGAACACGCGAATTGTATATATACGTG